TGTCCCCTACTCTCAACAATGTTGTGTAAACTTTGCTCTCCAATTATCTACGGTTAATAAAAACATCTAGTCAGCCTATAGCTGGACAGAAGAGAGATAGGTGGAGCTTCTGTTTGCAGACCTGGGGTAGCAGATAGGGACCAGGAGAGGGGGAGGGAAGAAGAGAGAAAAAGAGATAGAAAGAGGATGTCACCATGAGGAATTGACCTGATGGGCCAGAAGCAGTCCACGCAAGATCAATATGGCAAGTAACTTGGGGTGTGTAGCTGTGAAGGAGCCTAACTAGCTTCGAGAATTAGTATAAAAGAATTATCTGTCCAGTTGTTGAACCAAAGCCTTATTAATAAATCTAATAAGTTGTGTCTTTTATTTGGAAGCTAGAGCAGGTTAATAAAAAGCCTCCAAATTATTTAATATATACTACACCACCCTATACTGCTGTCATTATTTGGTTATTAGTTGTGTTTTTTTGTTTGTTTTGTTGTTGTTGTTGTTTAACCAAAGCTCATCTTTTCATGAACCTATGTGAAGAGATAGACAGGAACTGACCCCCCCCTCTCTTGTCACTTAGGCAATGAGCACACTGGGAGGGAAGTCACAGCTCTTAGCACCAAAGCCAAGCCTCTCCTGAGGCTCCCCTGGGTGCTGGCGGACCAGGTTGTGCTGCAGCACTGTGCGGGGTCCAGTGTTTGTGGGTGGAGTCTGTGCCATGCTGCCCCTCAGGGACATCCACTCTTGCTGTTTCTGGAGGCTGATTTGGAAACCCTGTAAGACATCCTCACTGACACTATGAGCTCAGAGATGCTGTACAAAGGCTTCAAAGTTCAAAAACACAATTCTCACCCAGGCTTTCAGAAACAACTGTGATTCCTTAGCTCAAAGGCTCTTCATGATTTGCCTATAACATTACCACAGTTCATTTATTCCTGGCATCACTGGAAACAGCGCTGGCATATGCTTGGTGATGGTTTTGCCTTCTCTGGAGTACCAGCCATTCTCCCTAGTGTCTTCCTAGTTTTAAAGTGGATTGTGCCAAAGGTAGACATCCTGACTGAGTAACCTCAAGCCATTTTCATTGAACAGGGACAGTGTCTCCACCAACCTCTTCTATGTGCTGTTGCTATGGATTGTGGGTTGTCCATGATTTGGGTAACTGTGGGCTAACACAGGCTAAAGTCATGGCTTCTTGCATTCCTGCAGTACAGGGAGTTCAATTCCTCCCCCCACCCCCCAAACAGCTGTAGCCTTCATAACTGGCTTTAACTGAGGAGCTCTCAGGTTTCCTTTTTTCATTTCTTGCTCTGTGCATGTTTTAATTTCCTAATCTGCCCAAATGCCTTCCCTTCCTATTCTCCAATACAGCCTCTTCTAATGGGACCTATTTCACAGATAAGTGACCTTTCCTGGTGCCATGTACAGAGTTTCATGCCTCTAGGAAGCATCCTATTTTGTTACATTGTGTAAAGTGCAATCATAGTACATGCTACAACAGGCTATCCCAGGCTGGGCACAGCTTACTCGCTCCTGTCCTCTCGGTTGGATGAGGTGGCCTTTAACCCATTCTGCAGATCTGAGAGTGTGGGTCCTATCTCCTGGTTTTTCAAACCATGCTCAGCTAGGCAAATGAGCTGATGAGGCTCAGCTGGGAGGAGACAGGCTAGGGGATTCCCTGTGGCTTGTTCCTGAGGAGAGGAACACTCACCAGGATGTTTTCTAAATTATACATCTTTTTAAAATTAATTATACCATTAAACCATGTGTACTTTAGTGATTCTCTTTGGTTTTGGTTTTCTTTTCAAGACAAGGTCTCCGTATGTAGCCTTGGCTATCCTGGAACTTGTTCTGTAGACCAGGGTGGCCTTGAACTCAAGGATCCGCTTGCCTCTACCTTCCATGTTCTGAGATGAAAGGTGTACACTACCACTCCTCAGCATTGATGTTTATCATATGCAATTTTGATAGATTTGTATGGTACATGTAATTTGGAGGTAGAAGGCTGGCTAGAGAAGGCTGTCTATATCTCTCCTGGTAAGCTGGTATTTGTGATGACAAGCTGTCATGTCACTGAAAATTTTCTCTTCTGCTGCTATGGATTTCCACTTCCAAAAAATAAGGGTTTCAAGTGTCTTCAAAGCAAGGATTTCTGAAGCCATAATGTCTAGAATATCATTGATGATTCATGACCTCTGTATCTGCCTTACTTTCCTAAGAGCTTTAGGTTTACAGGGCTGTGGTTTCTGAAGAGATGCTGAAAACAGCACAGCCTGTGCCCTGCTCTACAGAGCTGACAGCTCACTCCCTGGGCAGCCTGACAGTGTGATGTGCTCACAAAGACCAAGTTTCTTTTCCTTCTTTCTTTTCTTGTTAGCTCAGTGGAATTAAAGAAAACTGCACATTTCCAGAAACGACATGAGAAAAAGCATTTTAGAACTCTTTTACTTCTTAGTTAGTCAATACTGATATACATGCAATGAAAACTATTAGTTTAAATTCCACAGGTGTGTTTTCCTTCCATGAAATAAGTGTATAGAACATGCACCTGCCACTCAGTGCACAGAGATCACAAAATTACATTCAGGGTGTGTGCTCCTGATGACATTTGTAAATGCAGTTTGTAATAAAAAAAATGTAAGTAAAGCTTTGAACAATAGAGCCCCATCAGATTCTCCATTGTTTTCCTGGGCTATCACAGCACAACTCTAATGCCTGAGTTGTTCAAAGTAGAGAATTGCCTGATTTACCTGATCATTGGAAAACAGAACTGCCCCCAACCTACTGTGTTCTGCTTCTTGTGACTGGGATTTGGAAAACAAACTCATAAGCTTTATAAAGAAGTTCACAGTGCTATGGAAATAATTAAGAACCACTCATTTAATCAATACTCTACTGCTATCTGGAATACATGGTCCATAATCTTATAAAGAATTAACCTTTTCTAATGATGCTACAGAACTTTTATTTCAGAAAATATTTAACACTTTGTTAAATATTTTCACCAACTCTCTGCTTCAGCTACCCTATATTTGTGAATTTTATTCCCTTTACCTCTCCTTAATATCTTCCATTACAATGTCACAAAGTCTAAATAAGTACAAAACAGTTTCATACCCGATTTAAGTGATATTTAATATTTTCAATATTTAATTGGAATTTTAAAATAATATTACATACCCTGTATACAAGGTATCTAACTAAAAATGATGTAAAACTTCAATAACATAAACACAACATTTTCTTAGTTGCTGACCTATTAATGTAAAGAGACACCATGGCCAAGACAACTTACCAAAGAAACTATTAAAATAATTGGTTTTTAACTTTCCTAATGCTGAGACTCTTAATACAGTTCCTCATGTTGGGATGACTGCCAACCATAATATTATTTCATTGCTACTTCATAACCACAAGTTTGCTATTATTAAGAATCATAATGTGAATATCTGATATGCAGGATACCTGATATGGGATCCCTGTGAAGGGCTCATTCTACCCCCAAAGTGGTCTCAATCCATAGGTTGAGAACAGCTGATTTAATTGAAGGCTTGCAGTTTCAGAGGGTAGACGCAAACCACCATGGCAGGAAGTGTGGATCCATGCAGGCATGATGCTAAAGAAGTAATTGAATGTTTATATCTGATCCACAAGCAGGAGAGAGAGAGAGAGAGAGAGAGAGAGAGAGAGAGAGAGAGAGACTCCTAAGCTAGGATTTACAAGCACCTGGTGTGGGCTTTTGAAATCCCAAAGCCCTCTCTCAGTGACACACTTTCTTCACCTGGCCACACCTCCTAATCTTTCCAAAACAGATCTACCAACTAAGGACAAAGAATTCAAATATATGAGCCTATGAGGACCATTCTCATTTAAACCATCACATTTCCTAAAATAATAAACTTAAAGCTGGTATATCAGTCTGGAGAAATATCACTGTTCAGTTATGGAGAGAGGGAGCATTGATTCTATGGAGCCTTATTTTAAGAGTGAGTTGCACCATTTTAATTCTGTAATATGGGATAGTCCCAAGTCTGTTATAACTATAGTTCTATTTACCCCCTGAAGGAGAAGGACATGGAATATGTCAGCTTCTGCTGACACTTGCCCACTCTGCCCTTTTCTTGGAGCAGCTCTGGAATGAGAGTAGAACCATAGAGGAAGAAGGTATGGAGCAGTGCTCAAAGACCACTGCAGTTCTCTGAAAGGACTCTGTGCCAATGTGCTGCTGTTTTCTAGTTTATCTTTTATCTTCTCTGTTTCAGGCAGGGACAGCGCTGAAAAGTCATTGTGAGCTGCCTGAACTCTCCCAGAGCACAAACTTAAGGCACTGTATGAGAAAACCAGCCGCTGACACATCCACAGAGACCATCATGTGCTGGAACTCTCCCATGTTTGGTGTGTAAACAGCGTGTTCTTGCTCACCCAGTGTCTCCCTGACACAGGCACACTGCTGTCCATATGTTCAAGAGGAGGTGACTGGAGCTCAGCCTCAGAGTGTTCAAAGACACACGGAGGAAATAGCAGATCATGAATGGAATGAGAAATATCTGGATTCATAGATTTCATTCCCCCAACATTTGCTATAGAAATTTTCTAAGAAATTTGGATTTACAATAAATAGAGTAAAGATAGCCCTGAATAGAATAAGTGCATACCTAATCCATGAGACCTTTTTCATTGGAAAGGGCTGGATTTCTTCTTTTACACAATCCTCCTCATTTAAAGTCACCCCAAAATAGTAAAACTCTGTCTATAATGTGCCTGAAAATCTAGATGTTGTGGGTGAAAACCAAGTAAGATGGTGCTCCTGCTCCAGTAAAACCCAAACCTGCAAAATAAGAAAATAAGACATAATTGCTGCTGTGTGCAGTTTTTAATTGGGGGAGCCACCATGAGACATAGGGTCCAGCCATGGCTCAGCTTAGGACAAGTGAGAGCAGGAGGATGGTCTGTGGGAGATGGAATGGGAGTCTTCAGTGGAATAAGGGGAGAGAAGCAGACAGGGAGTGATGTACAAAGTTCTGTCCTTTTTTCCTCCGCCACTGTTTGCTCCTACACAAGATGAATAAGAACAGCAGGCTCCATACCAATTCTAACATAAGAAACACTGTTTTCTCTGAAATTGGCATTGGGATCTCAGCCAACAGCTTCCTTCTTCTCTTCTACATCCTCAAGTTCATTCGTGGGCACAGGCCCAGACCCACTGATGTGCTCATTGTTCTGCTGGCCCTAATGCACCTACTGATGCTAATATTCACGGCATTCATAGTCATGGACATTTTTATTTCTTTGAGGGGATGGGATGACACCATATGTAAACTCATTGTCTACCTGTACAGAATTTTTAGGGGCATCTCCCTTTGTACCACCTGCCTGCTAAGTGTTCTCCAGGCCATCACCCTCAGCCCCAGACAATCCTATTTAGCAAAGTTCAAACATAAATTTCTACATTATAATTTATATGTCCTCCTTTTCTTGAGTGTCTTCTATATATCCATTAGCAGTCACCTCTCAATAACGATTGTTGCCACCCCTAATTTGACCTCAGATAACTTCATGTATGTTACAAATTCTTGCTCTCTTTTACCCATGAGTTACTTGATGAGACACATATTTTCTGCACTGTTAACCCTCAGGGAAGTCTTTCTTATCAGTCTCATGGTCCTCTCCAGTGGGTACATGGTGATTCTTTTGTATAGACACAAGAAGCAGGCCCGGCATCTTCACAGCACCAGCCTTTCTCCAAAAGCATCCCCAGAGCAAAGGGCCACCCGGACCATCCTGCTGCTCATGAGCTTCTTTGTGGTAATGTCCATCTTGGACAGCATTATCTCTTACTCAAGAACCATGTTGAATGACCATCCTATATTTTATTGTATCCAGATTCTCGTGGCCCACAGCTATGCAGCACTCAGTCCTTTGGTGTTCATCAGTATTGAAGTTCATACAATCAGCTTTTCTGAATCCATGTGTGGGAGGACAGCAAAAATATCTAACTCGGTGAATATAAGTCCATTTAAGATGAACCCATATACTGACACACTATTAGTGATGAAATGATGTATATGCTCTTTGGTTTAAATGAAAATATGAGGTTGTGTGTTTTCTGTTAAAACTATTTACTTTGGTACTTTGTGTGTATGACAGATATGAAAGAGAAATTAAACCACATGCCTTTTGAAATATTGCCAATGTTTTGTCATTCTCAGTGTGTCTTCAAGAAAGCCACATAAGGTAACACTCATTTGCTATAGCCCTGGTTAATCCATACTATTTTAAAGTTCATTATAGTTTTACATACTCTCATTTCTTTTTAAATAATGTTTTTTTTTATTTTTGAAAGTTCATAAATTTATACATTTATAAAATCTATATCCACCATATCCATCCACTATTACTCCCTCTAGCTTCCCCTAGTGTTTTCCATTTCCCTCCCTAATTCATGTCTATCTTAAAAAATGTTATCAATAATCCTTGTTCTGGTCAGTTTCATTGTCAACTTGACACAACCTAGAGTCACCTGGGAAGTGGGGAACCTCAGTTTAAGTGTTGTCTTCATCAGACTGGTGAAGTCTGTGAGAGATTCGCATGACTGATGATTGATGTGAATCAACTGAGCTGACCATGTTTGGCAGCATCCCTAAAAAAGCATGTGGGCCTGCGCTGTATAGCAAAGCAAGGTAAGCCCGAGCCTGAGATCCAGCCAGTAAACAGTATTTCTTCATGGATTATGATTCAATTCTTGCTGAGTTCACACCCTGACCTACCTCAACAATGGACTAGAACCTGTAAGATGAAATAAATCCTTTCCTTCTCCAAGTTACTTTTGGTCAGAGTGTTTTACTATAACAGAAAAGCAAACTAGACAAGTCCAGTTAGTGCTACCCATCTGGGCATATGTGTGTCCATCTAGTGGGGCATGAGCAACCTACCAGTGGCCAAGTCCCCAAAATAGAGTGATTCTCTCCCTGTCATCACACATCACTGTTAATACCTCTTTTGACAGGAGCGGTGTTTCAGGGGTTTCTCCCCGGGCCATGCTGGGATTTTGGCTAGCTTGATCTTCCAAGGAGACCATAACTGCTGTGAACCGATGTATCCACCAGCGATGTCAAGTCTAGAAATCAGCATTTCCCACTCTTCTTCTTTTTTGCCAGCTCTCATGTTCTTTCTACCTGCTCTTCCATATTTCCTGTGATCTGGATGTTGGGTACTCGTGTTATTTATTCTTGGCATTTGACGATCTTATAACAAATACATTTCACATTTCAATTGCTTCCGTTTTGCCAGAGTAGATAAGCAAACATGTCTTACCATAAACAATGACATAATGTGGGACGCACACTCACAGAGAGGGTGTAAACGGAGGGAGAGCTGTATGTAGGGAACCGCCCAACACGGTCTCTTGTACAACAGTGCCTCTAACATGAGAATTTAAAATACTCAAATATGTTCACCAGGTGGTGGTGCATACCTTTAATCCAAACACTTGGTAAGCTGAAGCAGGCAGATCTCTGTGAGTCTGAGGACTGCCTGATATACAGAGTGAGTTCCACGACAGCGGAAACATACAGAGAAACCCTGTCTCAAAAGAAAAACGAAAAACAAACAAACAAAACAAAAAAAAAACAATGAAACAAATGAACAAACAAACAAAGATTCAAGTGTGGAAGCAACCCACTGCCTGGAACTTTCAGAATACATGAACAGAACATAAAGTAGTTCCAGCACACGGTGCAATTTAGACAAACCCCGAAGCTATGACTCTAAATAAAATAAGTCACCGAAAGAACAAGTATTGTGTGAATCAATTTATAGAAAGACAAACATACTGTAGTTAGATTCATTGAGACAAAAAATCTAACATCTCCTGAAAGAGAGGGCAATGGAGACTCTTCTGCTCTATGGACAAAATTTTGGTTCAGGAATAAGATGAAGTGCTGCAAAGGACTAGTTGTTATAGTTGTACAATAACAGGACTGTGTCTTGCTACTCTACTGCCATTAGAATGTTTAGAATGGCAATTGCATATGTTTTATGTGCTTTGTCATAATAAAATATGTTGTTACCTTGACTCAGCTATCAAAAATATTCCCCCTAGGACTGGTGGACGGCTTTCTGTATAAAGCAAACTGCTGTGCTTACATGAAGACCTGAATTCAGATCCTCAAGACCCATGTAAAGAGCAGCACACACCTATAACCCCAGCAATCTTACAGGGAGGTGAAGACAGTAGAACCCCCAGGCTTCTGGCCAGCTCCCCTGATATACAAAGTGTAGAGCAAAAAGCAATATTACCCCAAACAAGGTAGAAGAAGAGGGCTGACATCTATAGTTGTGCTCTGCTTTCTCCAAGTACTCCTCAGTACACATGCATACACACACACACCACACACACACACACACACACACACACACACACACACACACACATTATAAAGAAAGAAAATCCCAATCATTCAACTTTACAATTAAAGACTCAGGAGCCAGATGCTGTGGTGAAAGCCTACTAGCTCAGAGAGGCAGAAAAAGCACCCAGCAGACCTCCCTACTCAGACAACATTCCAGAAAGAAAAAAGCCCAAAGGCTCACTAGCCCAGGAGGAAAAGGCAAGGCCAAAAGCTTACTAGCTCAAAGCTCAAAAGGCTCAAAAAGCCAGAGAGCTAGAGAGCTAAAGTCTAAGCTAAAACCTAAGAGCTAAAGTTCCAAAAAGCTCCTTCTACTTCTATACACTGTCTTAGATACCCCTCAACTCAAAGTCCTCCTACTCTTTAATCCCTTTCTTGCTCTGCCTCTTGGCCTAGTGTTAACTTTATTAATTCCTGTGTACAAAACACTCATACCACTCATACATTAAAGGTGTGAAGGCTGGCTGAATCACACCATAATCGCCTGTTTACAATAAACAGAAAGTTCTTGGATGAAAGGTGTGAGATACACCTCAACCACACCAAACAAGAAACAGGGTTTTATAGTTCACAATTTTGGGGTTCACAATGGGATTAAGTATTCTGCAACATCCCCTTTTCTGCCTTTTTTCTCCCACTTCTCCTGCATGCCCCAGTTTCCTGATCTGTGCAGTTTCCTGGGACCCACTCCAAACTGCTGGAAATCAGAGCAGCATCTCTGATCCATCTACTGGCCTGCCACAATCTGCCAGCAACAGTGGCAAGGTGTACCCAGGGCTCTCTGTGTCGCACTTCCCCTGTACACCCCACATCCCAGTTCCCCAGCCTGTGCCATTTTCTGGGACCCACCCCAATCTGCAACCCTGGAGACAAGCACAGATCAGAGTGCAACAGGAAAAGAAGAGGACTGAGGCCATCTGAGACCACAAGCTCTATCTAGAACCCCAGAGGCCTATTACCATCAGAGACCACTAGGCCTTAGCAGGCCTAGTTTCTAATAATAGAGTCAACCAAATGGATAGAGCTCAGCACAAGAACACTGACAACAAAACCCAGGGCCACATGATACCACCAAACCCCAGCTATTCTATCCTCTATCAAGCCCTGAGGATGATACCATCATATTGGAAGCACAAGAAAACGATCTTAAATCTGAGCTTATAAAAATGATAGAAGCCTTAAAAGAAGAAAATAAATTCCTCAAAGAACTGCAGGAAAATACAATCAAACAGATGAAAAAAAAATGAGTAAATCCCTTAAAGAAACACAGGAAAATACAGTCAAACAAATGAAGGTATTGAATAAATTCCTCAAAGAAATACAGGAAAATACAACCAAATGAGAGCAGGAAATCAATAAAACTGTCCAGGACCTAAAAGTGGAAATAGAAGCAGTAAAGAAAGTAATCTGAGGCAATCCTGGAGATGGAAAACCCAGGGAAAAGAACAGGAACTACAGATACAAGCATCAATAACAGAATACAAGACATGGAAGAAAGAATCTCAGGTGCAGAAGATACAACTGAAGAAATCGATACATCAGTCAAAGGAAATGTTACATCTAAAAAGTTCCTGATACAAAACATTCAAAAAATCTGGGATAGCATGAAAAGACCAAACCTAAGAATAATAGGAATACAAGAAGACTCCAAATTCCAAAGCTCAGAAAATGTTTTCAACAAAATCATAGAAGAAAACTTCCTCAATCTAAAGAAAGAACTGCATATATACATATAAGAATCCTACAGAACACCAAGTAGATTGGAGCAGAAAAGAAAATTCTCCTGTCACATAATAATCAAAACACTAAATGTACAGAACAAAGAAAGGATATTAAAAGCTGCACAGGAAAAAGACCAAGTCACATATAAAGTTAAACCTATCAGAATTACACCTGACTTCTCAACAGAGACTATGAAAGCCAGAAGGATATGTTATGTCCTCCTCGTTCATCCAGCGCTCAATTTAAATTTTTTAACCTTGGACAAATATGGCAAATCTGCAGCTAAACATTTTTGGCACCCTAAAATCTTCAAGGTAAAATGGAGGGACACCTTGAATAATACGTGGAATGGACCCGACCCCATTTTAATTTGGGGATGAGGTTATGTTTATGGGTTTTTTGTTTTGTTTTTTTTTTGTTTTTGTTTTTGTTTTTTTTTTTTTTTGCAGGTTAAAGATGCTGCTCCATGGCTGCCAGAGAGACTGGTGCAACAAGTGGATTATGTCAAGAAACAAGATCATTCCCCAAGTGACGATATTGCTGATCCTGCTGCAGCTGATTCATCCAGTGAAGGCTGAATTACACCTTTGGGCCTTAGTGCCCAATCCCTCTCTTGTTCTTCCTGTACATGTTAGCACACCTTTGCTTGGCTGGTCTGGTATTATTCATCTTTGTTATTGCCAGATGTGTCCGCTTAGCTCAACAGAGCCAAGCTAGATTTAATGCCATTAAAACAGCAGCATGCTGTGACTCCCTCGCCCCAGGTAGGGGCTTGGCTTGCCCAGCTCAAACATCAGCTTAACCTCTCCTTTCCTGTGTGATGGGCCGGTTAGTCAATGACGGGTTCTGGGTGATCGGATATTTACCAATCTAAGACATGGAAATCCCCCTATAAGTGGGATTCTCCTATGATGCTTAAGATATTTATTG